CGCTCACTCCCCGCCCCCCAGCACTTCCTGGGCCTCCACGGCACAGCGACTGCTGCACTGAAACTGAGCAGAACGGAACCGTTCACCGTCAGGACCCACGCTGGCCGCAGTGCCTGGCACACGGCGTGAGCAAACGTGTGCTGAGTGTGTGAAGAGCAGGAATTCAACACAAGTTTCAAAACAAATAAAAACCACCTTCAGTTATCAGGAGAGGGAACTCCTCTCTAAACTTATTCCCAGGTACCACCTGAGATTTAGATTCTACGTCCTCAGACATCTGGACGACTGAAATTTTGGCTATTTTATGACCCATATTTTTGCCCTTTTCTGTTGTGACAAACCACCCAACCTTAGCCTTACGCAGTCTTCTCAGCCTCACGGGCGCCACCTGCGTGAGAAGCCTGTTTCTCTGGAGGCGGCTCAATGCCACGGGGCGGGCATGAGCGTAAAGGCTCCACGCAGGGCTCCAGGGACAGACCCCACGGCAACGCTCGGCCTGAACTAAAGGCCACGTTCACCAGACCCCCCGCCGCTTCCCACGCACCAACTCCACGTGGGGCCCCGGGACTTCCTGCCTGTGCCCCGCCAAGGGCAGAGGCTATGTCCCCAGCGCCTGGCTGTCCCCAGCGCAGAGCAGGCGCTTAAGGTGCTGGCGGAACGAGGGACTCCCCGCACGGAGCTTTGGACCCACCCCGTCCAGCTGCCTGCCTGCCGAACCCGGACCCGCTGCCACAGCACAGGCTCGTCCCCTGGATGGGACCCTGGCGCCGGCAGCCCTTCCCTCCCAGGAGGCGGGGAGTCCTGGGTGCCAAGGTGAGAGGGCCCTGCGCTCTCCGCCTCGTCCCTCAGCCCCCAGGGAGGCTGGCTGTGAAGCTGGAGGCAGGGTCCCATCCCGGAGACAAGAGTAAAACACCATCTGGTCTCCCACCACCACCACCCCGCCCCCAGGGCTCACGCTGTCTCCCCAGCAGAACCTGGGCCCCTAAACCAGTGGTCGGCAAACGGTGGCTCGAGCCACATGCGGCTCTTTGCCCCCTTGAGTGTGGCTCTTCCACAAAATATGTGCGGGTGCGCACGTACAGTGCAACTGAAACTTCGTGGTCCATGCGCAGAAGTCGGTTTTCAGAAAGACGAAACAAGTATACAAGAGGAGTGTGGATGGGAGAGTTGGAAGGGGTCGACCTCAGCGAACGTACCTCCATCAGATTGAGGACGTTGTTTTTAGCAGCCAGCTTAGGAGCACCCTAATTAAGTTAATAACAATGTACCTACCTATATAATTTAAGTTTAAAAATTTGGCTCTCAAAAAAAATTTCAATCGCTGTACTGTTGATATTTGGCTGTTGAGTAATGAGTTTGCCGACCACTGCCCTAACCTAATAGCCCCCCTCCCTCATCGGGGCTCGGCCTGCCTCCCCACCGGCTGCCCGCGCTCCTGCAGCCGCCTTCCTCCCCTCCAGCCTCTGCGGCTCCCTCCCGCGCCAGCAGCCGCCCTTTGCTCTCAGGCCTTGAATTACTATCCGCCCCTGCGGGCTGGGTACTGATGACCTGGTTACTGATGACGTGCACCAGCGGCCGCGATGACGCGTGACCCTTGGGCGTGTGACGTCACGAATCCTCCCAGTGACCTGTGCCCAACGCTGGGTGACCCCTGGGCGTGTGTGACGTCACTATCCCTCCCAGTGACCCGCGCGGTCGTCGTGTCCCTTTCCGGGAGCCTGCCCCGGCGGGGACCTGCCTTCCCTCTGCGCTCCTAGCCCGGCCCCCGCAGAACTGGGT